ATTTAAAAATCATTTGTGCATGATTATATTTGTATATTTATTCCACCAGAGAGCTAAATTACATTTTTCTAAATAATCAGAGGAATATGGCTCAATAACCTGGCATTGTTTCTGCATTAAATTAGAACAATGTTGTAATGACTGAACAAGGTATGATAAAAATCATATTTATAAACCACTAAAGCCAAAACAGCAAACACAAAAAGTAGCACAATGAATCCTGAAACAATAACACTGATTGGATGATGTTTTTAGGTCAATCCTGGAAGGCTCTAAGCACACTAGACAAGCGTCCGTTTGTGGAGGAAGCCGAACGACTGCGTTTGCAGCACCTCCAGGATCACCCGAACTACAAATACCGTCCTCGCCGCAAGAAACAGCCCAAGAAGATGAAACGAGTGGAACCGGGTTTGCTCCTCCAAGGCCTCGCTGGCGGCCCAGGACTAGGAGAAGCTTACTCGCTACACTGCCATGCCCATCATCTGCTGCCTCCTCTGGGACACTTCCGAGACCTCCACCCCTCCAGAGCTCCAGAGCTGGAGAGTTTCGGCCTGCCGACGCCAGAGATGTCACCGCTAGACATGTTGGAGGAGGGAGGCGGAGATTCAGTGTTTTTCCCCCCTCACATGCAGGAAGATGTGGGTCTGGGATCGTGGATAAACTACCACCAGCATCCAAACCATCAAACTGGCCACCACCCTCACCACAACTCCCATAACCTCCAGCATTCCCACCCACACCTCAACCAGAAGTCTCCACTGGCCAGCCTCCCGCTGCAGGAGAAATGCCTGGTTGTCGAGTCCACGAACCCTAACGGTCTCTACTCCAACATGAGCCTCCCAGAATCTTCCAAGGCTCCTCACACTCCCACACCTGCAGGCTATTACGGTCAGATATACGGGAGCAGTCAGTCCCAGCCTGCCTTCACCTCTCATCTGGGCCAGCTGTCTCCACCGCCCGAGACCTCGGCAGTCGCTCAGGTCGCTCCGCCTTCTCTGGACGCTGTGGACCAGCTGGGACCCTCAGCCGAGTTCTGGGGCGAAGTGGACAGAATTGAGTTCGACCAATACCTGAGTGCGAGCAGGACTCGATTGAACAGGAACGCTCCATGCGAGGAGAGCAGCGCTTTGATATCAGCCCTGTCCGACGCCAGCAGCGCAGTCTACTACAGCGCGTGCATTACAGGATAAAACTGCTTCCGCAATCTCCATGCAGTCCTGAAGTCTGGTGCACATATAGCTTCTTATTTTTTTAGTCTCAGATCTTTTTGATTTATTCGATGTACCTTCTTCAGGGAATCATCTTGCCCGGTTTCACGAATCACTGGAGGTTACTGAACTCTTTACAGGATGGTTCTCACCGTATAGACTTCACTAAATTGCATTTCACAGTATGACTAGTCATTTCTGGTCTTGATAACCTGTACTTTCTGAGACTGTGGTCAAATTTAACCGATAATTTTGCTGACTCCATCCAGCTACTGTATGCTTATGGTCTCAAATGAGGGTACTGGGACTTGGAAGTCAAGAATGTGAATATTTTTGCTATATATATATATATATATATATATATTATTTGCCTTTTATATTGTTTATTTCTATTTTTATAGACATTTTATAAAAGGTTGTATGAAAATATGTTTTGCACTGGGTATGTGAAAACCACTCAAGATTTTTAAACTGCACTTAATATCTTTCAAACACTCTTTTTTTTCATGACATCTGACATATTTTGATCCATTGGCGACTAATTTATCTTGCATGTTTCCCTTCTGTGTGGTTGAGTGTTTGAATTGGTCATTTCATGTGGACATGACATTTTGTAATCCTCTTAGCACTTGAGGAACATGTTGAGTTGGTAATAACTCTCCCCCTTTTGGTAATAATTATCTTCAAATAAAAAGAGTTTGCAATAAAAAAATGTCTCAGA